CAGTCTAGTTGTGGAGGACGTTGCTTCACTAGCCCAAGTTGGCACCATCATTGCGCTCTTCCCGGGCGAGGCAGATCAGTCGCCGGCTTCTGGACGACCGCTCACAGCACCTGCTGGCTGCTCACGCTGGCTGCTGGCTACATACGGTAGCCCATGGCAACCCACTGCAGCAGGGGCTGCAGCCTACGCCGTCGCCGGCGACTCATGGCAGTCCAGTTCCAGGTTGAGCTGTTGTCAGAATCTTAGCTGCAGAGGGCAGTGTCATTGGCCCTCATATGTGGGATCCGAACCGGGGCCCGCTGGCGTCCCAAGCCAGCTCTTAACCATCGCGCCACTCGGCCGGCCCTCTTCCTTATTTTTCTTAGTCCGCTGTTTCTTCAGAGCAATACACATATGCTGATGTCTGTGTAGCAGGACATGTTAAGTAACAAGATACTGAATCTTGGAAGCTTTGGTCCTAGGTTTCTTACCTTCTTTGTTTAGGGGCTTTCTCATAGTATACTGGCAGACATCATCTTCTTTAGAGTGAAAAGTTTGTGGATTCTGCTAGCTCTTTTGGGCCCCAGGCAACAAGGCACAGTAGTATCAATGAGACCAGGAATATCTTTCTCCCCTTTTTTTACAGACCAAGATGAGAACACTCAGGTTGACACCCACAGTGCAACCCGGAACAAACTTGAACTTTCTATCTCCAGTTCTCCTTGGTCCACAACAGGAATGCCCCTTACTCAGTAGCAGGTGGACACTGTCATGGGTCAAGACACCCTGCTTCCTGGGAAAACCTTGTTTGTCATTCTCATCACTAATTTGAACCACGTAACCCTTCCATTCTTCACCCAGAGTGTCAGCAGCAACTTCTGTGGCCACATGCCTCTCATAAAAGGTACAAAGTCGGCGTTCATCATTGACCTCAGTGAGTTTCTGGCAGCCAGTGGCTTGGAAAAAGATGTTCAGCTTCATCCTGAAGCAGCCAACCACCTACCTCCAAGGAACCACAAAAAAACAGCACCCCTTTATCCTTCTAAAAAATGTTTTTAAGTAACTGATTTTTCCCTCTAATTATAAAAGAAACCCATGTTGTTTGTAAATAAAGATAAACAAAAATAAATAAAAACCATCCTGCTACCTCCTTCACAACATTTTGCCTCACTAAACAGTTAAGTCCTTTGAGGGCAGCTCATTTCTCCAAGGAACACAGAACTCTAGCCATGGAAGCCCCAGCAGGAAGGGGTGGGGGGGGAGCACATGGGCTTTAATTCAATGACAGTAATATGTAGATTTGTTTTTCAGTTGTCAACATTTCAACATTATACCATTTGTATAAATCCAGGATCCCCTACCCCCAAAAAATTCCTTTTTTTAAAATTTTTCTTGATTTACAGTAATTTTTTGGCATTTTTTCCAGTCTCCTTAAAATTTCTAGCAACAAAGTCCTACATTTTCAATCTACTCCATATGTAAAACCTTACTCCACTTTAACTATACTTATAACTATACTTATTCCATTTTAACTATACTTAAATTAGTCAGTCAAAATAACCATTCCTTTAACTTGCTATTTCTTATGCTGAGAACTTACCCAACCAACTCCATCAAGATTTTCACATTTCAGATATGGTTAAGTGTACATGGAATAATTAAGTTTCTTTTCAAAATATCCTGTATTAATCTAATTCACACACATACAAAATAATTCCAGTGTCATAAAATTTACCCATAAGTACCTAAGTGTAATGCTCACCTGATCTCTAGTTTAGATGTATTACCTCTTATCACAGATGGGGGGGAGGGGCGAAGGATAGTGGATACCCTCCAGCAATTCACCTAGGAGAGGGAAAAATTTATCCCTTGCACACCGAGGGCATAGGCTCTAACAAGTAAGTTTTCAGCAACAGTGAAATAAAATTCTCAGAACAGTTCTGACTTTTCACTGGACTGTCTTAATTAAGTAGTCTGGGTGACAGTGCAAAAATTAATTTGAAGCTACCTTTATTCTTCCTTATTCCAAAAAGCTGAATATTGTTTGTCTTGACTATTTAAATCCCCAGAGATTACAATTCTGCAGGAGCTCTAGATGGTTCTAAAATTAGCCAAGTAATAGAAATAGTTGGAAAGGCATGCAATTCATTTTAATATCTGTACTTTTAGTTGCCAAGCAGCTAATTTCTTAAGTAATCTTAGAGCAGTAATCCACATAAAAGAATATATAAGCCATATATTAACAGATAGGTTAGTACTGGTATTAAGTAAAATATTATCTATAACTTCTGGAAATGACCAATTTCCCCCTCCAAAAAATATATTCTATATCTCTTTCACGGAAATAACAGGCAGGATTTTAAATATTTCAACAGAACCTGTTAATAGCACATTATCCTTTTCCTTAGAGCTTATTTATGCTTCCGTATCAAAGGAACATATAGGCTTAATGGGTTTCGCCTTCAGTGCAAAATGTTTTTTATGGAGGAGACTGACATGTCTGGTTTCATATAGTGTCCTAGAGCAGGACATTCTCAGACTATTGGACTGAAAGGATTGGGTATACCATATCCCAACTCTAAGGCTAATTCTATTTTGGATTTTCTAAAACATCAGACCTCATGAGGAGCCATAAAACCATACTCCAACACAAATGTTCATGAGGAGCCATAAAACCATACTCCAACACAAATGTTCAATACAATGAACACCCTAACTTCATGTCTGTTTCCTAGATTGTATGTAAAATATATATACAAATGAATGGAGGTTCAGATTCAAAGCACAAGTATGAAAGCCCTGGTTTACAAGTTTCCCTTGCTAAGATTTTAATTCAGATAGCAGAAGATACAAAGAGAGAAACAATCCTTAAGTGATAATAACACAGGAAGAAATAAAAAATACCAATGACATGAAAAACAAAAAGAAGAGAACTGCTCTGAATTAAGACTAAAAAGACATGACAATTAAATTCATGATCCTTGAATAAATCCAGGATTGGAGGGAAAGCTACAAAGCATTATCTCAATTATTAAGCTGAGGAAATATGAGTATAGACTATATGTATTTATTACATTACTGTAAAACATTTTAAATATGATAATGAGTTTGATAATAGTATAGTGATAATATAGGAAAACATCTTGGTTTTGGGCAACATATGCTTAAGAAATTTTGGGGTGGGGCCAGAAGAGTGGCACATTGGTTAAGAGTTGGCTGGGACGCCAGCTCTGAGAGGCAGGGCCCGGTTCAGATTCCACACGAGGGCCAGTGACGCTGCACCCTCTACAGCTAAGATGGTGAACAACAGCTCGACCTGGAGCTGGGCTGCCCGTGAGTTGCTAGTAATGACGTAGGCTGCAGTGGGGCTGGCCGGAACGCTGCCGTGAGTCCAATGGCCGGTGAGCAACTGCCTCACCCAGGAAGAGCACAATGATCACAATACCAACATGGGCCAGTGAAGTGACGTCCTCCACAACTAGACTGAAGAACAAAAGGACAGCAACTTGTCTGTTCCCCTTCCCNAAAAAAAAAAGTCACCTTATTTCCTAGCCTTGTTCACTGAAAATGGCAAGAAACAATAACCAACCCACTAAACAAATGAGTACTTTCACCCCCAGACTGTGGTCTCTAAACATCATTTCCCCATAAAGGAACCAGGGTTTTAGGGGCAATGGCAGATATATGCCCAGTAATGGAAATGTAACAGATGATCTATGAACATCATCTCAGTGAGAAAACAAACTATCAAAGGATCATAGCAAAAGAGCACTGGTGAGACAATTGCCAAGGTGAGACAATCAATGAGACACCAATAAGGATAAAACTGAAATTGGCTGAAACATATAAATATACTTAGGGATTTCATGACAATTAAAATAAAACTAATTAGTCACCTATGCAGGATGTTAGTGAACAAAGTCATTATTTTGAAAATGGTAATAACTGTTAATTAAAAGAAAGACTGAAGCATTTGTCTTGCCTTTCCTGTACCTCAGATTAACCAAACAAGTGATGAGGGAAGTATCTCTTTATAAAAGTATTTTAACTAAAATAAGAAATGATAGAATTTGAAAATCACCATTTCGTAACCTAATGAAGTGAGGTGTGGAGACAATGATCATCAATGGCTGCTGACATCATAAAAAAAAAGAGACTAATAGTGGTCATACACTTCTTCCTAAAAGAAATATAGTATAAAGTATTCTAGCCAAGCCAAAACTATTATATCTGAATCTGATCAAGTGTCCAGATGTAACTGCCAATTTGAAGGAAATACATGGGACAGAGAAACATGTTAAATGACATCACTATGATGTTGATCGCCAGATCCATCTGTGGGAAATTACTGAACAGATGACCCAGTTTCTTCAACAAATAAACTACAAAGCAAAATGAAAAACAGGGAAGGGAAATGTTTTAGATGAAAGATATTTTAAAGATATACCGACCAACTACAACGTACAGACTTTATTTGGATCCTATTTTAAACATACAAGTTGTTTTAAAAATTATGAAACAATCAGGGAAATATGAGTACAGATAATTAATATTAAGGAATTATTGTTAATTATTTTAGATTTGCAAATGGTATTGGTATTAGGTTTTTTAAAGTCCTCTTTAGACACACACTGAAATGTTTATGGATTAAATAATATACCAGATT